GAGTCTTTTAGTATGCTATTTGGTAATTCTCCCCAAGGACGGTTTTGCACTGCATATATACGTTTTGAATTATGTTTGTTGTTATCGCTCATTTCTGGCTGTTTCGCAGAATATACTTCCCATTCCAAGCTTGGACTTCTCCCTCTAGTTAGCGGGGGCTGGGACGCATCAATAGCTAGCTTACTGGTCTTTGGTCACCGAGTCTTGTTCTCGTTCGCCGAATAAGTGAACTCGTGATAGCTTCAAACCTAGCGAAATTCGAGTGCATAAACGCGTAATTTGCTAAGGTGTTATTTAAAAAGTAACAGCTAATAATGATCAAATTTTCCTTTACCGCATAGATGATTATAAACTATTATCAAGCTGTAGGTCATATCTTTTGTATAGAGCCTTACATTGTCGTATTTAGTTACACGCAGTACATGTAAATCTCAAAGTACTGCACACACAAACATTCTCAACTTTCTTGATTCGTGGTAGTCAATGTTGTAGCCTACATAATTGACGAAATGTTTGGATGCTGGATATATAAACACAAGATTGATAACTGTATGGTACTAAGTAAATGGATTTCAACCAATTAAATCATCGGTTTTTATGACATTTTTGAGAACTAGACAGTTGAATGAATTTTGATTAATTAATTTGTAAACTCTACAGGATAAAATATAACACCTTAGTAACATTTAGTTATCTTAGCAACGAAGATAACTGCTAATCCGACAGATGAGAGAAAATTCAATACTTATTAATCCTTTTATGTAAGGAACCATATTGAAATTTCACATTGTTACTTCATTTTTAGTTTATTACCAATCTGATAGCTTTCAGTTCTCATAGAGATAATGCATAACCTTTGGATGAGTGATTTAAGAGTCAAGTTACTTTTTTCAATGTAGTTGATTTTTGATTGTCTGTAAATTCTTCTCAGAACTTCAGGAAGTTCATCTAGATGCTGGCCGACTATGTGATTACTGGATTATTCTTATTACTATTATCATAGGCGTTCTATAAAGATTTGTTTATGTTAAGGATTGTGTTCACCTCTTAAGCTTAGATTTAGTGAGTTGCATTTCGTCACTGACACAATTTATTAATTATAATCTTAATTAGTTTGTTTGTCACCAATGTATAAGATTAATAATGCAATTAATGTTTCAGTAGAACCCCTCCACACACACACATCAGAAAACAAACTGTTGTTATAGTATGTTAGAAACCCTCCCTTAATTTATATATTCTTATATACGAACGTTGTATACTGTCGTAGTAAATGACTATCTTCTTGGTCACTTAGTCGTGTTTGTTTTTTAATCCGTGATTATTACTATTGTATTTGTACATATTTATTCTATTTACTTAATCCATGTTAAAACAGACGTTATTACACTTAGCTTAACGTTGCGAACATAATTAACAGATTTCGATCATAGCCTAATATCGACTACTGTTTAGCGAACTAGTTAAGATATTGTTTGTAATGAAAATAAGATCAACTGGTAACTTCTTATGAGTCTTCTCCTAATAAAAAATGTAAATTATGCATAATTTTACTATTCTAAAAAGAAAAAAACAAACACTGGAATAGGTAAAAATTGACTAACGATTTAATTTTCTTCATCCGTCCACATTTATCGTGGCATATACTTAATGATAACCAGTTTTTAATCCTTAATGTAAATATCTCAATCTTTATTGGAGGGCAGTCACATTTGAATAGCCTGATTTTTAACATATTTGACTGTATTACAGGTGATGCAAGTCTGGATACTTTGGATAACGTTAGTTCTGTCATGATAATAGGTAGTTTTTTTATTTGCAAGTGTCGAAATTACACGAAATTTAGATCTAATACGTATAAAATCTTTACACAGCATTTAATAATAAGATTTCTGACTATTAGTGTTAATTACAAGATAAACTGTAAGTCTTGTAGTTAGTGTATAAGAAATTTATAACATATAGTTACATACTTTAAGTTGCGTAATCGTTTGCAGCAGTGTAAGTGTATTCGTTTCTTCGCGGTTCTCAGCTTCTTCAACTTCTATACTTTTTATGTTTGTTTAAAGCAAAAAAAAATTACATGAGATCTTAGATCGTTAGTTTAATAATTTCCAGGACAGAGTGGGTTGGAGAATGCTAGTCGGCGGCCTATGCTCCATTAAGAGCAACAGGCGTAAGTAAGTAAAGTAAAAAGTAGTTTAATAATTACATGAACTAATTTATTAGTTGTTGTTAAAAATTGACTGAAAATTCATGAAATGTTAATGGCCGTTTATGCAGGTAACAGAATACAAGAAATTGTACCGAGTATTTTCAGTATGAGCGGTTAAGACTGCATAGTTAATTTATGGTTAGGAAAATGCATGATATCCTATATTGATAAAAAAAAACATCGGATGTGTGCTGTTCGATATATTTTCCGATCATGGATTCACTATCGAAATGATTAGTAATGACAAAAATTCTAGAAAATCGTCTATACTTACAATTCTAGAGAAATATTTAGTGTTGTTAGGTAAAGTCTAACTTCCGTTGACTTGTAGGAGGTTTCTTTTTTTAATAATGTAAAACTGAAACAGGGTAAGTGTAATGTTATAAGCTAAGAGTTTTTTGTAAATGAAAAAGATTTAAAAAAATCCTCTTACCATAAACTTTGTAAGATAATCCTTTCCATATTTATTGAACACATAACTTATTTATTTTATATAAAGCGATAGCGTAGTAGTTGTAACATTTAGAATTTTATTCCATTAGAGTTACATATTCATACTGTATGTTATTAGGAACAATTAGATTGGTACAGTAGCAACTCTCAGTTGACAAAATGTAACTGAATGTTCATACTTTATAAATCTGTACATAGATTACTGAATTGGTTTGTTTAATATATTGAGATTTATGTTGTTAATATGTTCACTGTTTACACTGTCCTTCCACCTACTTAATTCATTTAGTATGAGTTATATTATACATGCTAGCTTAATTACATTATTAAGAGTAAACAATTCTATATTGATTACTAACGAATTGTCTATTAGAACTGTGCGCTAATTTTTTTCTTCACTGGATATAATACATGTTCATACTCGATTGAAAGAAAATATACATTTATATACTATCTGTTTTATGTGTATGCTTCTTTTTAAATGGCAAAGTCAACAAACATAACAAACAGATCCATTGCATATATGTATTTTTTTCTCGAAGTGGAATTAGCTGGAAGGTTAGATTATCAATTAAAGAGCACTGGATAACGATTTGCATCAGTTTAAAACTATATATGGTGAGACTATAATTTATGGACGACCTTCAAGAGACACCAAAGTGACCTTGAGAGTGTCTACCTACTTATTGGAGTTAAACGAGGGTTATAAAGTAGTTTGAAGAATAAGGATTATGATTCACAGTCGATGTTTAAGGTTAGGAATTAGATTTACGGTTTTTCATAACGAACTAACAGCTAAAATTTCAAGACGCCATTTGGCCAAATGGGTTAATGAATTTCGTTTCAAAATCCAAGACCTGCTATCCTAAATCTGAGTGGTTCGTCCATAAATTATAGTCTCGCTATATATATATATATATATATATATATATATATATATATATATATATATATATATATATATATATATATATATATATACGAGATCAAAGTTCCACCATCAGGTCCTGTGGTGAAAAAGACATATTTGAACAACTGGAATCCAATAAGATTTCATCCATAAGTTTTAGTCAGTTCGTACTGTAAACTGATCGTCATCTGATTTCATCGTCTAGATAAGTATCTCACGATCAACCTGGTTAGTTTCATAGTTCGTGAATTATTAGGAGATCCATCTCAAAGTTGGTCATTAATAATGATTGGCTTGTAGTTTGTGAAAACTTTGTTCATTTAAAGATGGTTTAACATTGTCAAGTTATAATCACAGTTTCGAACTTCATTTGATTATTGTTCCATAGACTGTTATCATATAATCACAGACATTATCAGCTTATTCTTGTCTTAATATTCGATAAAAATCCTTTCCTATTGGGATTGTTATCACCTTTTTTGCCACTTCAGTTCTGGTGTGGTCCTCAAGGTAATTGTATCAATTAAATTCATAAGAAACTAGTAGAAGGAGGTTAGATGAAAACCCAATGAGGTTAAAACAAAACACTACATAAGTTTATGAAAGTATTAAATACTGGACTGAGCTATGTTGATAATTGCAGAGGACGTGGTTTGGTTTTGTATGGTTTGTGGGCTGAAGTCCCTAAGGACACGGCTTAGAATCATTTGCATTCACCCCATCTCCCCCCCCCCTATGTCTTCAGATTCTGTTATCTGTAACTTAACTTCAAATTATATTCTTCAATGTTTAATCTTTCTCACTATTATTAGTACTACTATTATTTAGACTTCTTTTCGATACATGTTATTGATTTCATCTCGTATTGATCTGATGCGAAAACTTCAACTAGGAAATGCTCATTTTAGGATCTAGGTTAATTATAACTGATTCCATGTTTTTCAGACTTTAATCTGATGGCTTTTTTATAACCCTTTATGCATAGTATGTGTGTATACGTTTGTTTTAGTCCAATTGTTTTTTTTATCGTGATATCGTGTACATAGTAGGATTTTCAACTACTAGTTTTATGTGTAAATGATTTTCTCTCCACCACCATGGATTGATATCGTTCATGGTATTATGATGAACTAGTGAACAGTAAATAGCTATTTCACCTTAGTATGAAACGCTTCTATTTTGGAAAAATGCTTCCTTATCTTACCTATAGTCAAAGAATGAAGATCAACTCTGGACTGCAGGTATATCCAGCTGACGAGTCCCAAATAGGACAAAACTCGCGTCTTGAATTTTATTGCTAGCCACCATCCACCTCTGGTTATAACATTCCACAGGTAGTTTTATTTTCTCTACTATATTGACTTTTAATTCTTTACCTTGCAGCCTTGAATATGCTAAAAAAAATTTTCTGATTTATTTCAGAAAACAACCGGAACCCAATGAATTGGCAAATTATGAATATCAAGATCATGTTAATCAATCTAATCAAATAAATAAATTGATAACTGCTACTACTCTGACTAATAATAATAATAGTAGTGGTAGTAAAGATCCTGGTGCATTTGAAACACATCGTCGTCAACTATCTTCTACATCATCAATCAGTTTAGGTTATGCTACAGGTCCTGGAACAATTGCAACTCCTTCATCTGCCTCTTCATCATCTACTAGCTACGGTTATGGTTATGGATATGTAGGTTCAGGAAGTTTAGCGAGTTATGCAAGTACTAGTAGCAGTGGAAGTAGTGTTGGTAATGGTCCAATTAATGGTAATTATTTGAGCACAATGCATCGTCTTAGTAATCAAAATTTGAGGAATCCATCTTTAACTGGAGAGTCTATCAGTAGTAACTGGTCAGGTTTGAATTCTCAAGGTCAGTGTTAAATAATAAAACCACTAAAATCTTTGATTAATGATTTGAAAATCTAATGTATTAAGTTTTAATCTATGTAAATTATTGAAAATATCATTTAAAATGAGTCGATTTTCATTACTATATAAATATTAACTTGGAAATCGTTTATTTAGTTTCTGTGTTAGTTCAGCAAATAATCAAGTGAAAAAACTTGCTTATTATTATTCAGTATTCATGTTTCATAAGTACTCTGTGCATACGAAACTCTTTTAATCAATGTAGAAATAAAATAATGTAATAGGCTAAAGCATATAAACAGTGCTTTAAAAACAGAGTCGTTATCAGAAAGCTAATACTTACTTACTTACGTACGCCTGTTACTCCCAATGGAGCATAGGCCGCCGACCAGCATTCTCCAACCTACTCTGTCCTAGGTCTTCTCTTCTAGTCCCATCCAATTCTTGTTCATTTTCCTCATGTCTGTCTCCATTTCCTGGCGTAATGTGTTCTTTGGTCTTCCTCTTTTCCTTAGGGCTTGTCTTGTGACGCAGTTGGGTGCTTTCCTCAATGTGTGTCCTATCCACTCACAGTGCTTCTTCCTGATTTCTTCCTCAGTTGATTTGTTCTGGTTTGTTCTCTCTCATAGTAGGTTGTTGCTGATAGTGTCTGACTAACGGATCCGAAGCATTTTACGTTGACAACTGTTAATAAACACTTGTATTTTCTGGATGATGGCTTTCGTAGTTCTCCGAGTTTCTGCCCCATACAGTAGAACTGTCTTGACACTTGTATTGACAATTCTGACCTCGGTGTTGGTTAACAGACAGTTGTTTTGAGTTCCATATGTTCTTTAATTGCAGATATGCCTTTCTCGTTTTGCCGATCGGCGCCTGCACATCGGCATCAGACCCACCGTGCTCATCAATGATGCTGCCTAAATATGTAAAGGTTTTTACATCTTCCAAATCTCCGTCAATTGTGATTGGATTGATGCATGCTGTGTTGTGTCGGATAATCATGCTTTTCCCTTTGTGTATATTGAAACCTACTTCTGCTGAGACTGCTGCTACACTGGTCGTCTTCTGCACTTGTTGTTGCATTTGCGATAGGAGGGCCAGATCATCTGCGAAGTCTAGGTCGTCCAGCTGCATCCTATCTGTCCACTGTATCCCGTGCTTCCTTTCAGATGTTGACGTCTTCGTGATCCAGTCGATAGAAAGCTAATAAATGGAACAAATTATAAAATTAATAATGCAAGAGCATTCATACTATCGAAATTAAAGAAATCTAAACTGAATAGACAGTTTTGCTTTACAGAACCGATACTAGATGGTCACAATTTGTGTAGATTTCTATGTTGCCACTAATCTAGTAAGTAAACATCTTGTACATAGACGACTATTGAGTAACTTATTTAGTTTTCTGTATAGTTCTACTTTATATGAATTTGTAGTAACTAAATATATTTCGAATTAATAATAATGCAACAACGATTATCGTTATTAATGATTGTGTAGTGAACAAGAACACGAGTGGGGACAATCGAATGTATATGACACGAAATTACAGAGCATCTCACTAAAATCTGAGAACCATATAGTAAATAGTTAGTTTACAAAATATCAATCCATCATCTCAAACTTGACTGTTCTTTTTGCAAATATCAGTCCATTGTCTCAGATTACATTGTTCATTCATTTTCACACCAATTGCGTTCCGTTCACGTTCTTTCCTTATCGATCTACTGAAATACATTCTATGCCTGACCATCGTTATATACTACTTATATGGATACAAGTAGCCCACACCACAGTTAGAGACTCTGGGTGACATGGCTCAGAATCGATCAAAATGGCGTAGCTGTGTACACTTTCTGTCTTCCTCTCAACTATGAGATTAAAATTACTTTATATCTTTCTACCAACCAATTCTTTTTTCCTGTGCTATATCCTTATATACAATCTTTCTTTTATGTATTACAACCATTGAATTAACTACTTCTATGAATTCGGTGTTCATCTTGTTGTGCTAATTAGGTGTGGCAAATTGGACCGATGCATATATATGCCTGGTCCTACGTTGTAGTTGAATGACTGACTGAATGCAGTAGCACATAACAAGAAGAGATAAAGAAGTTCACATTTGAACACTTATCATATTGATTTTTGTGTTGGTTGTTTGAATCTTCCATTTGATGTTTAGGACTTCAATTAATCAGTCTCTTACTGTCATACGTGCATTCTATACGGATTGCCTCGATATTGACTTTAGTCATAAACATTATAAGCAGAGATGGTGGTGGTGGTGGCTAACAGTGGAATATCGAGGTAATTCTCACAGAATAGACATTTGCCAATAAGAGACTGATCAATTGGAAGATTCAAATAACGAATACAAAAATGAATTAAAACTTCCACAAACTTATGGAACATTGTCAATCAAGTGTTAGTCATTAAAAACATCTGAAAATTTATGTTTCACACTAATTTTTCATTCATTATATTTCTCAATAATTGTAATAAGAATTTCCAAAACATTTAAAATACTAACTTAACAGTATAACACTATGTGGAATGTACAATGAAAATGGTACTTATTACTTAACATTGTCGTTTTCTTTTTATAAATTTAACACATTTATCGTAATTTTTGTTTTCAATTGTACAAAATAAAGTTTCATGTTTTCTCTTTTTTTTCCATTCTTGACAGTTTCTCGTGAAATTGTTAATCATTCAAGTGTTGCTGTTAACACAAACAGTTCAAATTCATCGTCAGTGTTAACAACATCAGTACCGGGTAGTAATAATAATAATGATCAGAATAATGACGAAGAGTTAGCTAAACAGTCAGAATCATCTGGATTAGCTGCTATGCTACAAGAAGCTATTGCTGCACGTAAACGTAATAAAGAAAATCGATGTAATGCTTCAATAAGACCAAGTATTAATTCAACTTCTTGCAATAATCCGGTAACTATTATCAATTAAAATATATGATCAAATTGAATAATTTGATGTATTCAATCATAATTTTTTATAGGCGTATACTTTTGATACGGAAACCACAGAAGCTGATAAACAATTCATATTCCTATCGTATAGTAGTATGGTATAGGAACGAGATTAAATCAACTGTGACGAACTTTTGATCAGTTCTCAACCAATCAGAAATCATCTTTTATAAATGGATAGTTAGTGAAAAAGCAAACAGTAATGTCACATCGTGTAGACAGATTTACATTTATATAAGTCTTCTACTATTTGATCTGGCTGTATATTGAAAAGCAATGATAGGAAAAGTTTTCCTTATGGATATTGATTATATGTTTTACCTAACCCCTAAAAAAGACCCTAGTAGTAGGGCTTTTATCACAAATTGACATCAGCTGAATTACAAAAATTCTCTGTATTCAAATAGATGAATGTATTTACTTCAAATATCCAAGAGGTATTATCTAACTTTCTTGTTTGCGAGTTATATTACCACTAGGTTAAGATTATGAATCAGGAATAAGCATTTAGGGATAAGATGTAAGGATAGTATTGATTTGCCTGTTATATAAAATGTACAGAAATAGAATAAAACACTTGATACGTTTAACACAATGATTTTTTACTTTATGGTGGTTTTCGGTCATTTTTCGTTATAATTGTGAACGTTTTTAGTAGTATACAGAATTATTGTTGTTTATTGTTATGGGTATTATTTGAATTTTATTCAAAATCTGAAAAGTCGCTTTCTCGATTCTAATTAATTCATCCTCATATTGTACTTTAAGTGATAAACTAAGTCAACTTACGTATGTGTGCTCAAAACTTATGTTTCGTAACGTCATGTATACATTTAATGCCTATTTAGAGAATGATTATTGTCGTTTATTTTATAGTGTTAGAATTATCTCAATCTATTACAGGAATTTTGATGCCTGTCAATATCAATGTTGTAATGACTGTAAATCATATTCATTGATATCGTTTGATAAGTTTCACCAATTAAGATCTTATAATATTTCTCTACTATGTGTGCACTATTTTGGTTATACCCTAGCATCCCATACTTAACCAGTGATACGCTTCTATTGGGAAATTCATTTATGAGTTAACGTTAAAATAAATTGTGACATCTATTTCTTCTCAAGATTCATTTTCCCACATTCTGTTGCCCAATTATCATAATAGAACAATAACACAACAGACAGATAACTTCTGTTGTATGGTAAAATTCATAACTCAAACTAATGTGGTAATACAGTTTAGTTTTCTGACCTCACAACGACATAAATGAGAAATTACTATACATGGAGATAACTACACCGTATGTGAAAGAAAAATAAGTAATAAGCCCATAATCAATTTACATTAACTTATGGGAAGTAAGACACAGGTCAATAGCTTATGTGCCAAACGAAAGCTTTCAACTAAGATGATATTAATGTACAGTAATCCAAGTGTCTTATAATTAAACAATAAAAGCACAGACATTAATCCTTGATAAAATAATTCCGAAAGTTGTATTTTCACACTGTAACAACTATCAAGAGTGTTATGCTTGCTGCAAGACCCTAGAAATCAGTGTTAGGTTGCCAGATAGGTCATGGGTTTTTGATTCCCGAAAAGTTTCAAATTGGAGTGAAACATCTACATAGTACACCTACTGTTTTTAATAGTCCAGGTGATATCACGTCATGACCAAGGTCATCTGCGCGTTTATCTTAGTGGTCTCATTCCGTGCCAATATGATGTGACAGTTTGAACCAATACACATATATCCTAGGTTCTATTTCGCTGATAGCTAACTGACTGACTACTCAGATTTTAATTGTAATCTCCTGATCAAATAGTATAAAGAAACTTTATCCTAAATAGTATGCTATTACTTCAGATTCTGTATACTTAAATGGATTAAATTTTTAAGAAAGAAACTTATCCATTCTAGATTTTGGACATATCAGAATTCATGATTGTCACAATATTTGTGAACTATGGAATTAAGCCTACTCTTTTATAGTTTATAATATATGAAGGATCTAACAAGTACATAGTTTAAATTTGTAGTTATTCTGTTCGTCTACATTAAACGTGAAATACATACTTAGAATTATGTGTATATGAAATCCATAATCACAAAGTAGATCTAACAATAACTAATTTCCAGTTGGTAACTTATTATTTAATCTGAATGAAAGTTCTATGTATTTCGTCTATAAAAATATTTCATACAGTTATTTGGGGAAAAAACACATTATCAGAAGGGTTTTTGTGAATATTATAGCAATTTCAATGGTTGAGATCATGTGTTAATTAAAGCTATATTGGAGTTCTAATGAGAAGCAGTGACCAATGGAGTTCAACTGGGTCTGTTGTAAGATAGTAACTCACTGAAGACAATGGTGGATGTGTCGCTCAGTTTTGTGGATTAGTTGAAGTTGGACATTAACACAGTTAGATGCCGGCTCAATGGTCTAGAGGTTAAGCGTTTGCGCGCGAGACTGATAAGTCCTGGTTTCGAATCCCACGGAAAGGATCGTGGATGCGCCATGTTGAGGAGTCCCATACTAGGACGGGGCGGCCGTCCAGTGCTTCCAGGTTTTCCATAATGGTCTAGCTTCAATCGACTCATGAATTCAGCTATTAAATAGTGACGAATTAGATTTTTTCTGTGACTGAAATCTGTCTTGTAAGTTTAAAGCAAAACTCGTATTATCTTAATATCTTTATGATTTAATGTCACCCAAAATTCATTGATAAATATATTTACAATGATAGTGGGGAGTGGGTAAAGATATACATTAAATTGTGCAAAACATAATTCACTTTTGTAGACACACACATTCTGTATGGATTGCAGTTTGCAATCCGTCAATTCGCAATCAACTGAAAGTCTGGTACTTGTGTATGTTAACCCATATATTCATACCACATCATTTTGATGAGATGAATTCGAAAATATAAATACTAAAGGCGGTCAAAATAATGTAGCAGCAATGATAATGTGAAAATTAGACATTTGTAAAAGATACAGAACTAGAAACCATATCTGAAGAAGTATTGAGACTCAAGGTCTAGGGTAATATAAAGAGTCTACCCATCTTCTCGATTATGGTTAATTTTGAATCATGTCACCTCAAATCTTTATTCGCTGACCACAACTTTAATTGTTTATACCTACCCTACGTGGCTCAATCAATGGTTTCATGAATCAATATCAACTTTTTGATTTGATTTCCATTACAGTTTACACAAATTATTATGGATTGCCATATTTCAATACATTTTTCTCTTTGTGTCAGATAATTTCAACTACAAAATCCCCGCCTCCACCACCACCTCCAGCGCCACCGACAGTATCTTCAATTACTCAACCGAAAAATGACAAAACCAACCCAATAAAACGTACAGATTCTGCACAGCAATTAAGAAAAGATTCCATTGATCAAAAATCTTCTATGCTAGCTGAAATTCAACGTCGTATACAAGCTAGACGACAATTAATCGATGCTGCTGAAGAAGAATGTGGTTTGCTTAAAAAAGACCATCATTTGGAAGTAATTAATTTGTCTCTTTTATTTTAAGATTAATAAGCTACCATTATTATTGTTGTTTTTCTCAATCTATCTCCGGTAATTTGATAGACTGATGTTACGACTGTGATAACTGGGACCGATGAACATTTAATTATCAGGTTTTAGATTGTCCTTCTGATTCATGACGGTTTAGCTTTTTTTAATTTTGCTATTTAGCATGTTCATTGTTGTCATGACCTTGGTCAGACTACTTGACCCTGAGGGCAGAAAACCATCCTATTCGCTGACTAATGATCGACTACACGGACACTGATTGGCTGGCTAGAAAATAGAGAAGAGGTCTGTGGAAAACCCTTGATTCCCGAAATATATCTAATTCCAAAGGGTACACAAGCAATTATATAAATCATTTAACCAAAACACAATGTCTGAAAATAGGGCTCTTAGATTATGAAAATAGAATACAAAACCAGTGTTCAGATTACCGTTAATATCGAATAGATGAAGATATGACAGTAGTTTATAAATTTAACAAAAGCTTATAATTAATGTAATAAGACAGTCATAAAATGTTATTAATTACAGGGCAAAACCTAAGTAAATTAATATCCCAAAAAGTAGCTTCCATATTTTATCATATTTTATCCATTGTTCTCTTCACAACAAATGTACTTCCTATAAGATTTAAAGAAATTCTTGTTTTAATCAAAACAAGGATGTGTCTAGTCTAATATTTCTTCGTCTTTCGTAAAATGTTTTCAACTGATGCTAAATCTTAAAATAAAAGAGCACTAGATAGTGCGGCTTTGTCTAAGTTTTAGACTCTGTAGCCAATGGGCATGCATAATGTCACATAGGTTTGAGCATCAAGCATTTTGAAGTCTCGGGATGAATATTTTACTTGAGGATCATCGAGTTAGGTTTCTGTAGTTCGCATTACTAGTGATTCCTATCCCATTATAGATTTATTTGGACTTCATCTATCTTAGTTTGTGACTAGAACTTCGAAAATCTATCTTACGATTATTCTCTACTGAACACTGTTGGCCATTATCTATCTAAATGTTTAGTAAATAATATGAACCTTAAACTATTCTTTTCATTTCACCATAAAAAATTCATCTTCTTTTCTAAATTATATAAATTCTTCACCCTTAATTTTATCCACATTCTAGTCATCAAAATCTATCTCCATACCTTCTGAAAATACCGGTGTTATATCGACTAATTCGATCGATTCATCATTGAATAGGTAAGTTATTAAAACTTTTTTCAATATTACAATAAATAACATTTTTATACTTTTTAGTATGAGTTATATTGTATGGAAGACGAGTTTTAACTATTCTTGAAATAATCGTGACAATGTTCTCCCATTTTTCATTAATATTCTAAAATTTTACATAATTATTCTATTGAGATCTACGCGTCTTCCCCGTATGTAAATCGAAAAAATGTATTAACTTATAGATTTCTTCATATATTTATAAAACATTTATCGTCTTGAAACTTTGTAAGGATACAAAAAGTTTTTCAGAAGTCTTTATATTGTTCCTGATTAGAGTTTAGGTCTAGAGTTGATTTATATGTTACATGCAGTTTATACAGAAAGAATTGAATATTTGATACGTTTAAATTGTTATTTTTCACAATTGATTGATCACTGGGTGTTGATCAATGTCATGTATTTCAGGCCGTTCTTAGTGTAGATCGAATGCTATCGATCAAGTTGCAATGTGGCCGCTAGTCTAAGTGACTCGACATTGCATGCACTATGTTGAGATAAGATGGTGGTTGGAGGCAGTCAACAGGAAACCCCGGACCAGGGTTTCGTGCTATTTGGTACTCGTCAGCAAGGTGTACCTGTAATCTTGACGGAACTGGTGCTCCCTGATGGATTTGATTCCGTGTCACCCAACTTCACAGTTAGAGACGTTACCATTAGGCTATCCTGGCCGCGACCGACTTCGTGTAGGACTGAGATGTATTCACACTTGGTTGATCATTGGGTGGTGGTCACTGTCATGTATATCAGGTCGTTCTTAGTGCAGATCGAATGCTATCCACCAAGCTTAAATGTAATCACTAGTCTCTGACTGTGAAGCTGGGTGATATGGGATTGACTCCACCAGGGATCACCAGTCCCCTCAAGATTACAGGTACACGTTGCTGATAAGTGCCAAATGGAACGAAACCCGGATCCAGGGTTTCCTGTTGACTGATTCCAACCACCATCTTATTGTTGTTTTTACTCTGTTGACAAGAAAAATCACTTTTCATTGTAATTTGAAATGTTATGAGCATTATACAAAAGTAATTAAGCTACTGGTTATACATTATTTAAAATAAAAGTCATTTTAGTTTTTGAATTTCTCGCAAAAACTGAAAAGTTGTTCTAATGCATCGGATTGACTCACCCCTATGCTTTGATCTTATTTAGCAATTCAAATTTCATATGGCGTACAGCTTGAATTCTAGTGTTGTTTTATGCTTTCGATTTCTCGGTTCCATGTTTTCTTCACAAAATTGGGCTTCTGTTCCTATCGTCGTTGGTGCTACCATTATTATTTCAACTCTTGCTTATCATACAGATTTGCGAGAGATTCTAAAAATGATTAATGAAGTTCTCACTTTTAAATTGAAAAATATTCATAAGTAAACATGGTGTTTTATGTATAATATAATGCTTTCAGTTAATGTTCTAACCGTAGCTGCTACTTTGACGTAATGGTCTGGCTTCCTTGTTATGATGACACAATCGAAATATACTGGCTGGAATAGTGGTTCCTTTAAGTCCTTCCACACCGAACAGATCTGTTTTGAGCAGTAAGACTAAGAGTGGCGAAAAAGTCGTACTTCTGATTGTACACGAGTGTGACATCAGTAAAGTGTTTCTCTCAGACAGCAAGGATCGATAGCGATGCTACTTCCCAAAAATGTCACTTTGCAAATTACTCCATGGATTTTCGTCCATGGTTTAGGCCTTTTAAAGTACGAAGCTGACACATCAAAAACTCCTCATAGAAATTCCTCATGTGAGCAGTTGTCTCTTGGGCTTTGCAGTCACTAATACCACCATTAACCCATTTCCTTTTTCAGGTCCTTAAAGAAGAAATATCCTTCTACGATGTGGGTAACCAATAAGTGACGAGCGTCCCCCTTACCTCTAACAGCATTTGAGATCATCTTGTTCACGACGAAGTCCCTCCATCACTTCTTAATATTTCTATTCTTACTATCAATTTTCCTCGTATGTTATCATGTTGTCACCAGCTGGGCTGGAATAAATATGACAATATCTGTTTAAGCATATTTTTGTTTGGAGACTACATAATCCTTACCCATGAATAGTTTTTATAAACAACAGTTCGGATTACTTTCAATGTCTTAACCTGTATTGAAATCAAGAATTAGTCCATTGTACTGTTGACAGTTGTATACTGGTGATCGAAAAGTAGAACAACTAAAACTGGATAAAATCTACTGACTTTTTTCAGCGATTTTCTTCACACTAATATCTATTGCATTGTGTACTAAATTTTGATGACAAAATCTCCCGACTCGACCAATTTGAATACTAAGTATGTCTCATTTAAACAACTGTGATCATAAATGGAAATCAAGCTTAATTGTGCTAAAGTGCATTGATACTGTGGGATATGTCTGTATAAATAATAATTTAAAGCATAATGGTTTTGTACAACTATTCACTGTAGATTTACGGAAGTTAAGTTATTGAAGTAAGTCATCTGGAATCCTCCGAGTAAGATTTTATCCTAATTCTCAGTGATCAATTACAGTCTTGGTAGTGTCTATTTATTTTCTCATCACCCAGTGTTACGATCAGATGACCTATAACTGAACTGTACTGACCCAAAAAAACTTCCTGTACTAAGATAGTTGCATAAATTACATACTGTCTAGTAAACATTCTCATGTTTAGTTCTTTGTTATGATCAAATTTAAATACACCTAGAGATGAATAGACTCCCGCAAAATTGAAAATATACCGTATTGACGAATATTACCTAGTTAACAGACATTTTGGCTTTTGTCATCAGTCGCCTAAAATAATAAAAATATGCATTGTAATGTGTATTTATTGGGTTTTGTTGTGACTTTTGGCCCTCTAGTTATCACGTAATCTCGCCAATCAAAATACGACTTTTTCACTCTTGTACTGTTCTAAACCAATGACGTTCGTTCAGTCTGAGCAGCCTAGCCCGCCCAGCTGAGTCCATAATGTCTATGACAACCTCCACTATGCGAATCATTTATTTCAGACATACTGAGTTTACATATCAACCAAACAGACCGCAACGCACCATAAAATAAGAAATAACATACAAAATCAAGCCAAAATGTGGCTGTGAACGTGGGGGACAGTAATTAATAAACTGAGTATAATTTAAGAACAGTAAATCGTATAATAATAATCTATAAGTCAAAATGAAGCTTATAATAAGAGGAATATAAATATGCTGTTATTTCTCGATAAGAATAATGAATGGTAATTTTTGGGATCTATTTGTGAACCAATACTATGCGTATATTTTTATCGTATAATTGTTAAATACCTAAACTGTTCATATTCATGCCCCTCTTATTATGAGCTTTATTTTGATCTATGAACTATTATTATACGATTTACCATTCTTGAACTATGCCCCGTCTATTAATTACTACCTCCCTCATTCACAGTCACATTTAGCTAACTCTTGTACAAATGTTGTTTCATATTTTATGGTACGATGTGGTCTGTCTGGTTGGTATATAAACCCAGTATGCTTGAAATAAATGATTCATGTCGCAGAGGCTGAGATTGGTGTTCTGGACTTAACTGGCTGAGCTAGACAGGAAGCAGGACCGATAGTACTCTAGACTGCTCCCATGGGATTTATGCGTCACTGGTCCGATCGATAAGTCACTACTCCCTAATTTGTGGTCACAAGTATAACATATACACATTCTAATTACTGAATAGTTATACCATAAGAATATATCGATAATATTAGTCCATTAATAGGTCCCGAAAGTTACTCATAAGTTCATCTTCACTAGGTTATAACAGGTTTATTGATCACATCGCAATTCGATCGATAGGATTTGATGAATACTAAAAACTGAACAACATGAAAATGGCCAACCATTATGTTGGGTGGGATTCATTTCATTGAAATCTTCATTTAATTCATTTAACACTTCCGTCTAATCGTTGCTTGTTTTAGTACACTAAAACATTTAATGTTTTTGATTGAGATCATGAACCTATTGATGTTAGACCATCATTGAAAACCTGGAAGCACTGGACAGCCGTTTCATCCTATTGTGGGACTCCCCAGCAGAACGCATTCACGATCCTGCTCGCGGGATTCGAACCCAGGGCCTTCAGTCTCGCACACGAACGCTTAACCTACTGGACCACTGAGTGTGTTTCATTAGATCATGGTAATTTATATGAAATCAACAAGTAAATTCATTCCTAAAAAAGAAAATATGTCAATTTATAATTTCCAAATGTTTGTTTTTTCTTCTTCTTCTTCAGCCGAAATGTTAATACATCTAATTGTTCCACAATATCAAATATTATAAATTCTGATTTATCACTTACTCGTTCAGAATTGGATAATTTACGTCGTGAAATTATTATTGAACTACGTAAAGAAGTTCAATTGGCAAAAAATGAAATTATGGATTGTAAATACTTTTTTTGAATCTATTCATTATATTTGTTGATGTTTCTATTGTCACTGAAATTTACCAGATAGTTAGGAAATATTTCTTTAAATAGATTATTTCACTTTTCAGAAGGATAGTTTTGTTAGGTCTATGAAATCTCTTAAGTGATTTGTGATTGGTACTGAAACCTAGATTTCAATGGAGCGTTGTGATTCGTGCTACTTATATTGATATAAGTAGTATGTGACGCGTGTCAGGAATGTAATGTCTGGCAGCAGAAGATGGGGGAAGATCAAGAAAGGAAGAACGGGAATAGAAAGTAATTAGTATAGAAATGCAAGAACAATGAAGTCCGAGACAATTATTGAACATTTTGCAAATTAGGTATTATAGTATGGGTTTTCTATGTTACCAAGTAACTAATCTTGTGCTAAATATAATTCGGTTGTCTTCACCTGTGTTCTCCTTCACTACATCGTCATGGAAACACAAAAGCTGCTGGTATGAATTTATTTAACCTCATATGATTTATTTACATTCAGATTAACAGTTAGACTTTTACAAGTTGAAGTAAATAGTATTTAACATCAATTACTCATTAACTTACTGTGTGAATACCTATTTACCAAATCATACAATTAAGCATATGTAGCTAACACCTATAATGCATTAACTATGTTGTGTAAGTATAACTCAGGATGTGATCACGCGTCATTAATGATTGGGAAAACTCAGATTCATAGGTCATTCGCGGTTCAAGCGGCTAGGTCATCGCTCTCCATACCAAGTTTTCATCACGAAATGATATCTGTGCTACATCTACTCAACCGCCACCTATTTTGACACGCGATATTCCCAGTTGTAGGAGATTGTAACCGAGCTAGTGGCAAACAAACCAAGACGCGACATTATTCTATTCAATCATTGACCATTGGACTGAACCGTGTTACTAGGTGTAGAAAACCTGATTGAGGGTCACAAGCTCATCTTGATCAAATGACTGAAGACGTTTGGGTAACTTAGCTCAGAACCGATCACAGATGCACTCTCTATCTTCTTTTATTACATCATACGTTTTAAGGTTATGCTATGTCTTCTGTTCATTCTTTCTCAAATTTTAACTTCTATTTCCCTGATTTTTCTCACTAACACTGATATAACCATTATCTCTACGACTTTGGTATTCATCCTGATAATATTATTTGTCTATGCTGATGTGTTGTGACAATTATGCCATGCTCTACGTTGACTGACAGATTGACACTAACTAGGAGATTATTGAATACTCAAAAATGCTGAAGAGTTATTTTATTCTAGGTTTAAGACTATTAGAAGTTAATTTTTATTTGCTAGTCAGAATCGATTAAAATCTTTGAAAGCAAACTCAACTAATAAGATTGAATTTATGTACTCAGCTACTTGACAATATTCCTTGTTTTTAAAGGCTAATGATTGGATTGATTATGCTATCCAATATTATAAACTGAAGTACATGTGTTTGAACACCATTACAATATAATAGTGAAAAGTTTCTTACTTTTAACAGGTATAGCCATGTAACTTTCTAATCTATGTAATTATCATTATATTTGATTGAAAATATCTTTATTACTCCCCTCCTACTCCATTACTGTAATATAAACTATTATTATTTGCATTTTCAATGGTGAGTATGAAAGATGTATGAACTTTTACATTTCACAAATTGTATCACTTCAAAAAAGACCTCAATGAAAACCTACATGAGTTTTTAATAGTTGAGATAATCGAAGACAGTTATTACGCGTCTAGTAATTATGCTTGTCGTTTGGTTTCCAAAATAAAACTGGCGAGACTCTAATTTAGGGACGACGTTTGAACGATCTTGACAATTATTAGCCAATCAGAAGACAGTTAGTATAAAGTAAAAATATATTATAAGAAAGTAATGAATTACAGTGGATATTCTTCTTTTACATGATTTAAAAACTTGTTAAGGTTTGATGAAGGTTCAGAGGTTCTGAATTCATAATGCATACGGTATAGAAACTCGCCCACAGGGTTAGGGTAACGGTTAGGATTAGGCTAGGGTGACGAGGTTCTAATTTAGAGACGAGCCCAAAAGAAGCGTTTGAGCAATTTCAGGGTCACGGAGCCAAGTTCAACACATGATGCTAACATACGATCAGTTTACAGCGAATTTTAGAGCAGAGGTTTTTATTGAGAGGTCACAACCCTAACCCTGTGGACGAGTTTCTATACCGTATGCATTATGAATTCAGAATCTCTGAACCTTTATCAAACCTTAACAAGTTTTTAGATCATGTAAAAGAAGAATATCCACTGTAATTCATTACTTTCTTATGATATATTTTTACTTTATACTAACTGTCTTCTGATTGGCTAATAATTGAAATTGTTCAAACGTTTCTGATTGAGTCGTCCCTAAATTAGAGTCTTGCCAATATCCATTTATTATCATGCTAGATCCTGTGATCATCGTTATTATTTATTTGAGACCCATTAATTTTGATTGATATTTTCTTTATACCTTATTATTGCTAAATTATTTCGTTACTACAGTTTGAATGAGTTTGAGTTTAACGTATTCTGAGAACATTGATTCTTCGATACATTGGGTTATATCCACATAATGTACACAAAATTGGAATTTAAGTAGAATAATAATATATTTGTACAAAGATAAATATTGATCAGAAATAGAGATCAATTATGTTCATAATCACTAATTTATCATTCATAATTTTCCTTTCATTACATTTTTCAAGGTATCAAATTGTATAAAGCTGTTTAACTGTTGGGACTATGCACTCGTTTGATCTTTGTGTACACGTTATTTGGATAAACACAGCTGTCCTAAAAATATTGAACATTTGATCAACTTATACTATTTCACATTATAATACAATTTTATCACCAAATTGAAATTTGTAATTATCTATTTGTTTGTTTGTTTTTTCTTCTCTATTTTGTTTGGATTGGCTTCTAATACTTTTGAAATCTTTAAAACGAATGAATTAATTACACATCTCATTTTTTCACATTCAGTGAATGTGTCTAATTCTTGGAATGTCACTTCTTTTATGTTTTACATCTGTTAAAACGTATTATTACATTCCATTTATTTATTAGTTTTCTTTGTTTTTGTTTTTTTTGCTTGTTTATTTATCTATTTATATAAATATGGAACATAATAACACATTGTTCAGTAGGATAAATGAATGATGATGGGCTTAGTACCTTCTGTCATTTGTTTAGATTACCTCATTATTATACGTTTAGTAGTGTGGATGCTACTTCTTTCTACGTTATTTCCTCAATTGTGTATGGTCATTCTTTGAATCATCTATGTATCCACACAAAAAAGGGGAGTATATTGTAAACGTCTCTTTTTAATTCTCAATTTATTTTTTATTTAAATTGGATTAGGCTTTTATTATTATTAATGTTACTCCAATTGTCAATTTAATTTAATTATTACCTCATATAACTAGTTGAAATTTGTTATGTGGTCATTATTCGCACAATTATCTATCCAATTTGATTGTTTAATTGAGAATTGGAAGCCATATATACTAGGCGGTATTCTTACATTGAAAAACAAAACAATTATGTATGCATGTACAAATAGCTGAGCTTTTGTTTGTATTTTTTTCATTTTCGTAATTAATCTCTCCTTATTATCATGATGTATCCTGTTTTGATTTCATTTTATTCATCTTTTTCACGTATATTATATAGTGCCTCAGAGTAATTGCAAATATACATACATGCATTGTAGAATGTTAATTACTTTCCTTAATTCTCATTTTATGTAAACACTTTCTTGTTTATCAGTGTTCTTTTAAAATGATGATGATAATGATAAAAATACATACACATAATATATATTCTCGCATAATATAGTCTCATTTAATTAACGTTGATGGTAGTGAAGTAAGTCATGAGCAGAAGTCATTATTTTCAATGGAAAATAGGTATGTCTATAGTACAGCATTTATAAGAAGCAAACTAAGTTTAATACATTTCGAACAATCTGGTCACACATATACTTGTTAAGAGCATTTCCTGTCTAGTTGACCTTTTATTTTTATATATAAATGCTCTTAACAAGTATATGTGTGACCAGATTGTTCGAAATGTATTGCGCTAATATATCACATAGTTCTGATAATCTTCGTCTTCTAATATCATTATCGAAATTTATCAAAAGAACTAATTGTTTTAAACTAAGTTTAATTTTCTTGAATAGATAAATCACAAATGAACTATCTGTATCCTTGATGTTTTAGGCTTTTAGTAGTTGAACAAGAAATGTAGTTCACTGTAAAATTGAGTTATATAGCTTTATCTTGATTATGGATGTTGAATTAGTAGTCTTTATTTAATATTTAGAGTAATAAAATTTTATTTCATTGGAGTCCAATATCAACAGTTTCTTATATTAGGCAATAATATCTGACTATTCAAACCAATGACTAACAAAATTCACACGGAAATGATTCAAACTGAACATTTTGCCCATTGTAATAATGATATAAACTCTGGCTGTAGATCTTCTAGGGTTACTGCCGGTCCCAAGCCCGGGTAAAAGTAGGAGGGTTGGGCATGGGGTCCACAACCCGTAGAAAACAGTATTGCCTAGGAAGCGTTAGCCAGAAAAAAACTAGTTAAACCATCTATACTCTAGCCTGGGAATCGAAGGGTCTTCATTTAGAAGAATTATGACGCCTCACGATGAAAGCCAAAATTCTTCGGAAATCATGAGGCCGACACCCGTCCAAACAACTAGAGAAGCAATCAGTATCGGAATATGGAATCTCCAGTCAATGTGGGAGACTGGAAGGACCAGTCGAATAGCAACGGAAATGAGTAGATTCAACTTGGCGGTTCTCGGAATCAGTGAAACCCACGGGACCTAGGCTGGACAGCAAATATTAGATTCGAAAGAGATTCTGTTGTACTCTGGCCATGAAGAAAAAAATGCTTAGAACACACAGAGAGTCGCTCTGATGCTGTTCAAGGAAGCACGAAAAGCACTCATAGGATGGGAATCTCGTGGATCGAAGATCATAAAAGCATTCTTCAAAACAAAGAAGGATGAAATCACAATGAATGTTATGCACCCGTCAACGATAGCAATGAAAATGATAAAGATCAATTTTATTAGAAGCTCCAGTCGATTGTAGAGAAGTGCCGAGGAAAGGGCCTGACCATCCTGATGAGAGACCTAAAATCAAATTTGAAATGGACAATACCGACTTTGAAGATATTACAAGCCGATATGGACTGACCGCGAGAAACGTACGAGAATGGCGAGAGATTTGTAAATTTATGTTCATTCAACGAATTGGTTATAGGCGGCACAATATTCCCACACAAACGCACACACAAATCCATATAAGTCTCATTGGACCACACCACCGAGAACCAGATAGATCATATTTGCATCACTAGGAAATTCAGAAGGTCAATGGAAGAAGTGAGAACTAGGAGAGGGACTGACATAGTTTCAGATCACAACCTGATGGTTGCCAAGATAAAACTGAAGCTAAAGAAACACTGGACAGCTGGGTAAACAGCATTACAGAGGTTCTATATAGCCCTCCTTCGAGATGCTGAAAAACTCGGTGAATTCAAGATAGCTCTCAACAACAGGTTCCAAGCCTTACAAGATCTACTAAAGGAAGAAGAAACTACTATGAAGGACAACTAGAAAGAGATCAAAGAAGCACCAGCTTCAACGTGACAGGAGGTTCTGAGCCGCAAGAAGCATCGTCATAAGGAATGGATTTCTATGGAAACCCTAGACACGATTCAAGTGAAGAAGTGTGAGGACCCGAGAAACATAATGAATGGTAATTTTGGGATCCTTTTATGGGTCAATACTAAACGTATATTTTTATTGTATAATTATGATATGATGGAAAGAAGAGTCAATTTTCGATTGATTTACTCATTATGAGTTTTATTCAACATTGACATCCATTTTTGATTCAACGTGAGGATCATTCAGTGTAGTATTTGATTTGTTTTCCCAGTATGATATTTTCTTCTGTATAATATGTGATATTCTTGTATTCACTTTACAAGAACTATGCTCAGTAAGTGATTTATTATAACTGAGTATGTGATTTAATCCTAATTATTAATCAAAATGGGTGTACAATCAATATATAAACTAATGTATTTTAGACTATTTTGATCATCGTCGTTGTCGTGTTTTGGGGCTTATAAATCATCACTTATACCAGTCTTGCGTCCTTACTTCACGCCGTGAGAATCCCAGGGATCCCTCGTTCCGAGTATAAGTGATCAGCGCCTTTTCCGGCACAACAATTGCGACGACCAAATACAACAGGAAGACAGCAATTAACAACAGCCGAACAAGAACAGGCAAAGTCAAGGCACAAGCTGAATACACAGAAACAAACAAGCAAGTGACGAGCTTCACTAGAGCTGAAAAGCAGAAATACGTGGAAGACCCAGCAGCGACAGTGGAAAAAGCTGCGACAGAAGGAAATGTGAAACAGCTATATGATACAACGAATAACCTGGCAGGGAAATATAGTAAACCAGATAAACCGGTCCAGGCATCGAGTAAGTAACGCAGGTGTTAGGAAACGGGTACTAGGTAAGGATGGCAAGTCAATTGATGAAGTAGTGAAACCTCATCAGTTGAGATGGCTGGGACACGTGTTACGTATGCCCAACCACCGACTGCCTCGATGTGCGATGTTTGTTGTATAGGAGTAGATTGGAAGAAAGCTAGGGGCGATCAGACCAAAACATGGCACAAGATCATGAAGTCACTGACAAGTGGACTGAGCCATGTTGGTAGGTGTAGACTACCTGGTTGGGGACCGCGAGATGATAGCAACCGATGGTTAGGGACCTTGAGTGACATGGCCGAAAATCGTTCACAATGACACCCACTCTTTGTGTTCTCCAAAATTCTAATCTTCTGAATTCTTCATGTCCCTTTCTTGTTTTCTCTTTCCACATTTATTTCACTGGATTATACTCCTTGAATAACATCTTCAAACTCTAATCTTTCCTATTACTGCTTATACTCTTACTTCCTCTACCACTAGGGGATTTGAATCGACAACTGCATCTCTATGCTAATGTGGTGTGGCAACTCGAACTGATGTACGTACGTACATACGAGGTTCTACGTTGTTACTGACTGACTGTTTGACTGCTCCAGGACAAAGAAGGCAAGCTAATCACTGAGATTCAAGAACAAAGGAACAGATGAGTGGGACACTTCGAGTAACCCTCAAATAGACCAGCTCCGTCGAATCCACGGGATATCGAAGTAGCACCTACAGAGCTTCCTATAGATATCACTGCATCAAGGATCGGAGAGATCAGGATGGCCATCAGACAAATGAAGAGTGGGAAGGCAACAGAACCTGATAATATACCAGATGAGGCGCTGAGGTCAGACATAGAAGTAACCGCAGACATGCCCCACATTCCATTCAGGAAGATTTTGGTGGAAGAACAAGTGTCGACAGACTGGAAAGAAGGACACTTCACCAACATACCAAAGAAAGGAGATCTGAGTAAGTGTGAGAACTCAACTACAGAGGCAACACACTATTATCGGTACCAGGAAGTGTCCAACAGTGTTGCTGAACCAGATGAAAGATTCAGTTGACGTCCAGCTTTGAGATCAGTAGGCTAAATTCCGTGAGGATCGGTTGTGCACAGACTAAATCGCGACATTAGGTATGATCGTCGAACAATCAGTTGGATGGAACTTATGATTATACATCAACTTCTTTAACTACGAGAAGGCGTCTGACAGTGTGGATAGAACATTATGAAACTTCTTTGACACCACGGAGTACTTGAGAAAGTCGTCATCGTCATACAGAATTAATAAGATGCACTACTCTGCATAGTCGTGTGGAGAACTAATACAACCATCATCAAAATGGTACAAGTAGTTATAAAAAATTGTCTACGAAAGATACTCAATGTCCGTTAGCCGGAAACCATCAGCAACAGCCTAATGTGGGAGAGAACAAATCAGCTGCCAGCTGAAGAGGAAATTAGGAGAAGACGTTGGAAGTGGATAGGACATACATTATTGAAATCACCAGGCTGTATTACGAGGCAAGCTTTAGCTTGGAATCCTGAAGAGAAACGGAAAAGAGGAAGACCGAAGAACACATTACGTCGGGAAGCGGAAGTAGGCATGAAACTCCGCCTGTAGCTCTTCTAGAGTTACTGCCGGTCCCAAGCCCAAGTAAAGGAGTAGGGTTGGGCATAGGGTTAGCGACACCATCCTGTAGAAAACTAACTCTAAAGAAACGCTAACCAGAAAAAAATAATGAGAAGGATGAATAGCAACTGGAAATAATTGTCCAAAACAGAGTTCGATAGAGGATGCTAGTGGGCGACCTATACTCCTCCAGGTGGGATAACAGGCCTGAGTAATAAAGTAATAACGATATATTTTGACTTGATAACTAAAACTTAATGGGGAAGTCATTAGAAACAATTGTTCTTTCTGATGTTTTTCGCTCATGAATAACTATTTTTTTATAATTCATCGATGGAGAAAGTATCTTTCGAAGACATCAAACTATTTAATGGTTTTTTTTAATAAATTGAAATTCTGTTGAAAAGTAAACAATGAGTGTACAGAACAACTTCAGAAGTAAAACTTCAGTTATTAGATTCATCTTGCCTTTCCTCTTCATGGACTTTAGCTGCAGCATTTGCACGTAAAACATCACCAGGATTGGGGTATGGACGTTGTTGAAATAATGGTCCCGATGCAGTGCTATCTACACCTGTCTTAGCCGATGGTGCTGCAGTAACCCCTTCTAAGCCTGAACTCCATGTTCCACGTGGTATATCACCATAAGACGCTGGATCCATT